AAAGAGAACGCATGTTGTGTAACAGTATATTGGGTCCGTGGATAAACTCTTAAAGGGACCGCAGTCCAATATTTATGCTGCTGTGTCATGTTAATCAAAGAACAAAAGACAAAGAAAATCACTTTCTGCTCTTGACTGAATACGTTTTATAACTTTAATGGTAAGCATTAATCTGTATTTAATTTTTACAATGAAGACTACAGAAATTAAAGTAATCAAATGTAAAATAACACTGGATGTGTTACAGATTTAATTTCTGTAGTATTTCTTAACTGAATAAAAACTTACTTAACCTGAAAAACTTAGTTTCATAGCTCTCTTTATTCTATTGCATTTATTTGTGCTGTTGTTTGCAATTTTTTTTATTTGTTCTTATTTTATTACTGACTTTTTACTTGTGTTTTTTTTATGAAAATAAAACTTTGCATTGAAGAAAAGTAGATTTTTGTTGGTATATGCTTTCAATTATAGTTCTTAGAAAGAAAATCAGAATTGGCAAAAATTGGTATCGGCAGATCACACAAACAAAAAATCGGAATCGGCCAAGAAAATTGCAATCGGTGCATCTCTAAAAGTACACATTTTATTTCAAGCTACATATACATTAGACAAATAGTTTGATATAGTATTTCTCATAGTTTTCTTTACAAAAAATATTGCACAAAAATTGAGAATTCATTCACAAACACACTTTCACAGTTTTGTTAATTGGTTCAAAACTCAGTTAGTGTCCATTATTAAAAGTGCAGAAACTCAAAACATATAGCACAAAATTCTATAAGACCAATAAACAAATTAATCAAGTGCAATTCATGAAGCAGTTAGTCTAAATAAGTGTAAACTCTGAAACATGCATCTCTGTACAATGTTACCCTTCACATATTTAAACTGCTTAAATGATGACCTGAGGGGGAAAAAATGTATTTAGCAAGATAAATTGATCTCTCTCTCGATGTTGAAGTACTGCAATGACCTCTGAATAAAAAGTGACCTCATTCATTCTTTGAGGTGGTGAAATTTGATTGGTTGCTGTGTGCACAATCGCCGGGGCAACAAGAGTGAAGGTGCAAGATATCTGTACCATGATTCCTGGCACACATCACAGTTCCTAACTTCCTAAGAAAGCTAGTGGTAAAATGCATGACCTTTTAACCTGAAACAGACTAAAAAGAGAAAAAAAAAAGCTCAGTCGTCTGTGCGAGTTTATGGCCCTGATTCTTAATTAAACATGTAATCTAAGCTATTTCAAACATATACAAATTACACGCATTTGCATTATCAGTTCTATGTCACGTACGTCTAAGCCTGTCAGAGACAAATTAATATGAGGATGATGGATCCGACCGAAGGAAGAGGAGATGCTGAAAAACAGACAAGTAATTACCCATCAAGAATTAATTATCCATCCAGACGTCAATTAATATGCAAAGGGGAGATGCAAGACTCCCTTTTGGTTGCTTAAAAACTCATAAATCTTTTAAGCCACACTGTTTTTTTAAAGCACAACACACAGAAACACACATATTCAGTTACACAAGTATACCTGCAATATGAATGAAGGTTATCTGGACTACATGATGCAGTGTGTTTTGAAGCCATCACTCACACTACAATAGAAAAACAGGTGTCCTAATAACTTCAGGAAGGGCTCAACAAGGATTTTTATGTTGGCTTGATCACTGTCCCCACCACAAATATAGCAAACATACTTTTACAATTATTCTATTTTATACTTCAAGGGTTTGCAATTTAGATAAAAACACATATATGTTAGCCAACTATACACAACTAGACGTAACTTTGGCAAAAAGATAGGAACGCAGACGGATATTAGCCATTTTTTTTAATATTATCATTATGTTATATATATTTTTATTTTTTTCTTATTATTTGGAATGGAAATTTGGAATATTTAAATAAAAAAAATAATATATTTATATTTAATAATAACACCATAAATTATAATGTTATGATGCCTAAACTCACTTGTAAAATATTTATTTTAGATTTAGTGTGTTTTAATTTACTATCCGTAGTACTGATTTATAATATTAGCCTTTACATAAAAATAATTACTGGTGTGATTACAAGTCTCGGGCAGAATTTCAATATCAGTACATCTCTAGTGAAATGTTTCCATTTGAAATACAAAAATAAATGAACACTACCATTCAAAACCATTAAAAAATTCATACTTTTATTCAACAAGGACACTTTATATCAATTCACACATGCGTCGTGGTACTCTCGTAAACAAAAATAACAAAAGAAAACAAAAATAATGACGGTCCTCTCGTGAATGCGCATCGGAGAGTGACATGGAAGAGAAGAAATTGTTAAATAAAGTCGTTATTTTGGTTTTCTTTGTGCAGAAAAAGTATTCTCGTAGCTTCATAAAATGAAGGTCAAACCACTGATGTCACATGGACTATTTTATTGATGACCTTACTACCTTTCTAGGCCTTGAATGTGGTAGTTGTGTTGCTGTCTATGGAGGGTCAGAAAGCTCTCAGATTTCATCAAAAATATCTTAATTTGTGATCTGAAGATAAATGAAGATCATATGGATTTGGAACGACATGCGGGTGAGTAATTAATGAGACTTCATTTTTGGGTGACCTATCCCTTTAAGAAATTCTTACCAACCCCAAACTTTTGAACAGTAGAGAATGTGACCAACATATGTTAGACTCTGTGAAATAGCAGTACTGCCTTAATCTGTCGGATGAGAGTCAGGTCATCAACAGGCCCAAAACATCTTGTTGAGCACCATAAGAAAGAAAAAACAACCAACACATGAAAACACACATACTTGAATCTGCTCGGGGGTCCATTGGTCCAGGTTGACGGATTTAACACGTGATATATGCACTCCCAGGTTTCGGTGTATTCCAGCACAGCGGATACAAATAAACACACCAAGATTCCACGAGGCCCATCGAGGTCCTGCGGAGAAAGAGAGAGAAAACAGACAGATTTTAGACCTGCAGTAAAGCACTTCCAATTCTCTGAAACAGATAACGCTATCATAACAACAGGCAGTGAAGAAACAGCGGTTTAAAATAAATCTTCTGAGTCACGGTGCCGCCTCGAGCTCCGTCACGCAATTCCGCCTTGCCATGGCATCGAATAAACCGCATTGTGCTGTGATGCCGAAAACCAATATCTAAACGATGGAATTTTGCAGTCGTGATAATAAAATTCGATCCAAGCGCCGGATGAATGCAGCAGGTAGCCCACCTGAATCAACAGTCAATAGCCGCAGGTACCTGAATAAAGTAGTGAAACTACATTGTGAGGCTCCTGATCTCATCAACCCCAGAAAAAAGGGAGAAGAAAAATGTGAATTGTGCTACAATACAGACTGCATGTGATTATCTTCAGCCCGGTGTGTAATATTCAGCTCTCAGAAGTGACCGTAATAGCACGGGGGCGGACGAAAGCGCTCTGACGGTAGACGCTAACAAAGGCAGAGACGGAGGTTGTGTATCTTTCAGTTCTGAGCGCAAGACGTCGATAGCTTTCGGGTGAAAAGTTGCGCGTGGAAGCGGACGGATTGGGGGGTGTGGGCGCACTGGAGCGGTCCTGACAGCTCTCTGCTGCTCGGTTGGTGCTGGCGAGAGCGCTGCTCCTGACGGGCTATAAATCACCGGGTTTGCTGGGAAATGGATTTCTGTGGTTCACCCGCCCTCTTTGGCTTTATTTACACCTGTCAGCCATCTTAGGACGTGTCCAATTCGCTTCCTCTGTCTCACGCTTTCTCGCAGCACGGAGCCGTATCCCTGGTTTCAGGGGGGGATGGGATCTGTATTCTGCCTGCAGGATGCCTGGCATGGGTTTGCAAGAGTAGAGTAAACCACTGACCCAGGCAGTGCCACCCACACAGCTCCTGAATAGAAAAAAATCGTGCACACAAACGCACATACACTACAAGTACAGCCATTAGCATAACAAACAATACCGCACTGTTTCTTCACTTTTAAGCATGTTCATAATTTATCCTGCATGATTGCTCAGGATATTAATTGCTATCTTGCTTCTGTTCTGTGCTCAGATGACAAAAGAGGACGGGTGACGCGTGAACAGGCTGATAAGATTCCCCAAACATGCAGGAAAAACTCTGGTGAAAACTGCGGTAATGAGAGAGAGCGGGTTTCCAGTCTCTTATCTCTCACCCACCCCAAAGTACCATCCGGCTGGCTGCACAGGCTCCGTCTGCCACCCTCCCAGATTTATTAGCCCAATAAAAGGCTGCAAGATTGTGTCTCACACCGCTGCACCAGGAGCTGCATAACTCACCCACAATTAAAGAGGGTTAATTTGTCATTGAGTGCAGTGAAGGGTGCGGTGCCCCTGCGGAGGGTTGGATTCTTACAAATACTTGAATAGAAAACTATGTGAAACACAAAGAACAGTTTGCGCTAAAGAATTAAGATGAACTAAAATTATATTGACTATAAAAATGTCCATGCATTTTAAGATTTTATTAATTTCTATGAATTTCCCAGGCGCTGTGAAAGTTTCCTTTGGAGTTCCCTGATTCTCCAGGTGTTCCAGGACTGTGAAAACCCCAGTTTCAAAAGTTTCAAACAGTCCAAATCAAAACATTTGGAAGAGCAAATGCACATACAAAATAGAATATTTTCGATATGCCTGCAATGATACACTGGTGTAGCTGACTTGAGATGTAGGAGTGGGCAGCGAAACCAACATATGATGATGCGTAATTTTATATCATAATATCAATATTTATATATATTTTATATATTATATATTTTTATTATATATCAGTGCTTCCTACACATAGACTTTACTTGGGCGGGCCACCCAGGTATATTAACGGCCGCCCAAGTATATATGGTGAAACATTTTTGCTTTTATTATTTTTATTCTCATACTTTTTTTATCCGCCCAAAATAATGAAACCGTCCGCGATTGATTAACTAGTGGAAAATCTCCCCTCGCCCTACACGTTTTGTATATGCTCGTTCTGTGCGCGCGAGAACTGTTTACTCCCGCTGCCGTTCCCACGTGCGCTGCAGAGACGCATTTCACAGACAAACACAGGGCTCGACAGTGCGGGAGCTTCAGTCGCAAATAACAATAGATGTGCGCGAACTGTAAAATGTATTTAAGGAGCATGTGTGCGAATAAAGCAAAATCCCTCTGGGTGAGTTTTCTTAAATTTAATGTCTTAAAAAGACTTCAATACATGAAATGGTAAAACAAACATCTTAATGATCATTTTAAGTAGTCTTATATTTTGGGGATGGAAAAACATAAATCGCGATACAGCCTATCGATTATTAAACTTCAAAATGATTTCATTAAAAAAAGAGCACTGCACATTGCAGTGTCACAAGGCGGCGCTGTTGCGCTTTCAACAGTCTCGCGCAATTCAAGAAATTTAATTTAATTCTCTCTGTTGTATATTTGCTCATCATTCGTCTCGTGAAGCCGCTTTCATATTGTTGTTCACTCATCGCGTTAGCAACATACAGAATATTAGGAACATTAGAATTTGTTTATTTTTTTTTTGATTTGTTCCTAAAAATAAGAAAAAGTAAAGACTGGCATCTTTATTTAACCTAAATCTGTAATTACAGTTATTTAATTTTAGTTATATAATTCATATACATATCATTTATATCATTTCATATCATTAAGTTATATAATTTCATATACATAATTTGATTTAATAATTTGAAGCAAAAACAGAATGTTCTGTTCTGACTAGCTTTGTGAAATTATACTACATGCCTGAATGAAAC